ACTTCAGTTATCCCCCACCCCAAAATACTGTAGAGCCAGACATGATGATGCATGCCTGTAATTCCAGGTTCGGTTGGGAAGATTATGATTTGAGATCGCCTCGGGCCACAAAGTTAGTGAGACCCCATCTCAATAAGCAAGGCATGTCTTGCACCTGTAAATCACAGCTCCAGGGGATGCATAGGTAGAAGGATCATGGTCCTAGGCCAGCCCCAGGCAAAAACCATGAGACCATATTCAAAAAATAACTAAAGCAAAAACTATGGGCATGTGTGTGGCTCAAGTGGTAGAGCACTTGCCCAACAGGTGAAAGGCTGTGAGTTCAAACCTCTATCCTGCCAAAATAAATAAATAAATAATCAAATATTGTTGAAATGTAAGTAAAAAATGTGATACTCAAATATAATGAAAAGTTATGTGATAGTTTTTTAATCACCATTTTCTTATTCCCACTTCTTGGCATCTGTACCTCACATTTCAATAAAATATCTATTGAAAGCTTTCATTTGATTAACTTTAGAAAGCTGGTGATTATTTTTCCAATGCTAATATATTTCCTTCATGAGCTCAGTCGTGGTATTTACTTCTTGTTGGGACCATGTATCCAGAGAAGCCAGCTTTCTTCAGTTTTGTGTACAAAGCACATGGTCACATGGTCTGCTTAGCACAGGTGGTTAGTGGGATTGTAGACCTTCTGTAAAAGCCAGTTAGTGTCTCGGAAATGTACTTTAAAATGTAAGTGTGTAACAAAACTGACTTCTTCTTAAAAGTCAAATAACTGTCTATTCAAATAACTGCTCGAAAAATATATATGAAAAAACTTAAATTTATTATGGTGTCATGAAAATAATAATTTCACTCTTCTGAAGCAAAGCATTTTAAAGTGTATTGTTTCATCTTTTATGCAGTTCATTTCTTTTTCTGAAGCCAATCGATGAGGACTACCAAATGTGTGAAGAAATTGACTTTGAAGAAATGATCCAAAATGAGGGAACTTTTCTAAAGAGGCGATGCCGATCTCTGACCCCTTCTAAGAGATCATTTTACATTAATATCGTCCCAGAGCCAGACAACTTGACATCTCTGTCAGTGTATTCAGAAGATGGGTGGGATTTACCATACATAATGCACTTGTGGCCACCCATCCTACTCCGAAATCTTCTTCCTTACAAAATTGCTTATTATGTAGAGGTATTCTGGAATTTCATTGTCTTGTCCTTGACTGTATAGCTTGAGTTTTTTTAAAATTATGAACAATTAAAAATGTTTTGACATTGGGCATGCTGGTGCATGCCTGTAATCCTAGCTAAGTGGTAGGTGGAGATAGGAAGATGTGGTTCAGTATCACCTGAGG